GCACTATAGTGCATCATATGTACAAGGTGCAATATGCACCTTAAAAATCAAGATTGTAAAATTTTAGTGCAGAATGTGCAACAGTTGTATCATAAAAGTGAATGACTGATTAATTGTAGTGTAAATTATCTAAATGTGCACTCTGCATGATGCTATTGTGCATCAGGTGTAAAAGTGCTTAAAATAGATGCACAATGTTTCAAATAAAAGTGCATAATACACGCAAAAAAAATGTACTAATATCAATTCACTACAATCATATATAATTAAATGATCAGACTCCCCCTAACACAAAATAAAAGATTGCATTACAAATAAGTGCATAGCTTTTTAAATAATATTGCATCTACCAAATAACTAAAGTGCATTTTAAAGCTTCTAGTAAGCTTAATTAAGGTAACTTCTAGAGTTCTAGTAATCTTAATTACGGTAACTTCTGAAGAGGATCCATTATGGTAGATATATTTTAGCCTAATGTATGTGATCCAATTAAACTAAGGAGCTTTTTAAGGAAAATAATTTAAAAATCCACATTTATAGGATATGGGAACTAATCATCACAGAATTAATTTTCCATACGTGTCAATCACTCACATGTAATATTACTATTGAACCCCTACATAATAATTGTAATGAAGCATTACCTTTTAAAACTCCAACACTTAGCCGCAAATAGTGAATGGGAGTATTAATTCTCTTGTAACACAAGCCGTAGGATACAATTAATCAATGGTTTGATTTTAATCTTTTTCCCTCTCCTAAGAGGGTGTTCTCACCGGAACCGCACCCTATATATACACACACACACACACACACACACACACAGAAAAGTCCAGGTCCGAACGTTCGGACAGAACCCTCTTCCGAACATCCCCGTTTGGAACCCTTTCCGGTGGAATTTTTTGAGCATGTTCCTCATCAAGTCTAGTTTGTCCATACCAAATTTCAGCTCAAAATTCGATCGGGAAGGCATTCAAATCATTTTTTTGAAGTTGACTGCGTTTATATATGTATATTTTGACGCAGTCAACTTCAAAAAATCATTTGAATGCCTTCCCGATCAAATTTTGAGCTGAAATTTGGGGTTAGTTTGCAACTGCTTTTAAAAAAGCACTTCTCAGCTTTTGGCTTTAAAAAGCACTTATTTTCCCAAACACTACAACTTTTATTTTTCTCGGCTTCCGCGTCAAAAGTGCTTTTACTTTAGAGCATCTCCACTTATTTTACTAAAAATAATCTTTGACAAAGTATCTTTAGAGCATCTCCAATGCTATAATGTCCACGTTGCATATGTGGCATGAGTGATAACCACATAAATATTAGCAAATGAATTATTTATCTCCTTATTTGAATGATTTTATACAATTTTGGTAAGTTTTTCCCTACAATGTCAACAACAATGTCAACATCTAGACGGTCTCCTTGACAGTGTGGAGAAAAACTAACAAAAATGTACTCAAATGTTTAAGCATCGTGCTTTTACCAATAGGGAGAGAATTAAATGCGGCTATTACCATCGTGCTTTAACCATCTCCAATGATAAAATGTACCCAAATAGGGAGAGAAAGAATTTATTTACTACTCCCTTCGTAACACTCATATCTTCCCACTTTCCTTTTTAGTTGTAACAATCATATCTTCCCATTTCAAAATCTTCCCATCACACCCTCAATAATTTTAAAAATAATACACTATTACAACTACTTCTTTTGTATTTATCCTTCATTCCAACACACTATTTCATTATTTCCCATCATACCCTCAATAATTTATACTTCGTATCTCCTATCACTATTCTTAATCTCACCTACTTTTCACATGGGAAGATATATCAGTTACGGAGGTAGTAATATTTATGTGGCTATTTCTCATGTCACGTCTGCACCGTGCACATTTTACCATTGAAGATGCTCGGTAAAAGCATCTAGATTAAACTGGAAAATTGGAGGCAAAAGTTCACCAGTCCAAGTCAATTAACTCAATTGAACCCTAGTTCCTTCTTCTCCACCGATCATCCACTGGACTCACTATTCTGGATTAAATGTGAAGTCATATCAAGCTAATGGCTGCCTCTCGCGTCTTGAAAGCAGCCTTAAACTACTCGTCTCCCGTCATCTCCTGGAAATCTGTACATTCTCTCCCTTTAACCCTTATGCACCTCATTCTACTTTTTTATTGGTCAGTATCTTCATTTGAAGCTCTGTGGAGTAATTAATTAAATGCGTAGTTAACTTTCAATTTCACAGACCGGTTTGCTTCAGCAAACCATATCAACTTGTATTGAACGAACCGGACTGGGGCTCCACTCCGGCAAGGAATCAAGGGTGAGAATATGCCCGGAGCTGGCAGGTGAAGGTAGGTACTTTGCGATTGGGTCTAATCGTATCGATGCATCTATTAATTTTTCAAAGGAGTCGCCCCTGTGTACTACACTGTGTAAAGATGGGTACAGCGTGAGAACAATTGAGCACCTGCTTTCTGCTCTAGAGGCATGTGGAGTAGACAATTGTCGAATCGAAGTGGAGAACTCAGCCTCTAATGATCGATCTGTTGAGGTAAAGACACTTTTATTATTATCCAGATTTTCCAAGTTTAAGTTTTAGAACCTGTCTCTTTTCCATTAAAATCCTCAAACTAGAGGGAACCTTAAAATCACAAATTCAAGCTATTTTATGGTTCATAGAGTTCAAGAGAGAGATAGAAGTTGTCATTTTCCATTATCATAACTCCTAGATGCATCCAATCTTTTAACTTAATAGATAGCTTAACCATAGGTTTGGATAGGGTGAATTAAGTAAACCCTGGGAAGTGAATCTAGTAAACTTACTTGTATAATTATTAAATATTCCAGTTTAATACTTGTATACTGTAAAGTGTAAACTTTTGTTTGGATAGAAGTTGAACCTATGACCATGCTAATCTCAGTTATGAAAACTGAGGTTCTTGTCATACAATGATGAACAAACAAAGTGAACCTAAAACCCAACGCTCAAGATCAACTCTAATAGAGAAACCACAAGGTCTTTCTTGAATGCGAAAAATGCTATGAAGAGAAAATAATATGAAAACTCAGAATCTTGTCATAAAATGATAAACAAACAATGTCAACCCAAAAGGTAAATCAGGTTCAACCTGAATAAAGAAACCACAAGTTCTTTCTGGAATGTGAAAATTGCTATGAAGAGAAAATATGCTGGAAAGTTACAAGGACAGTAACTTTGAGGGGAAATAAAAGAGTCCAATTTAAACTCTATAAACCCATTTTAGTTCTTTGTTCAAGCCCTTTTCATTTATTTATTTCTACTACATGAAGACAAGGAAATTAAAAAATGCACGATATTTTATTTAAAGATAATCATAGTTCATTTCTCCTTTTACTTTACGAAGCAAAACCAAACACATAAAAATTATTTTCTTTCCAAATCCTTTCCTTTCCATAGATTTTTTCAAGATCCAAACATACCTGAATTGATTAGTGATGTATTATGGCCACTCTTATGTGTCGCGTACAGAAGCATTGGGATATGATTGGCTTGTAATGTGTAAACTTTTAGCCAAGAAATGTTCTAGCCCCCTATAAACACAGATGTAGTTCTATGCCTATATGTCATGCCAATTCAGGGAATCTTCACATGTACTCAAGTGTTTTGAATTATTGATCGTGCTGTATGGTTATGGTTTTTTCTTGATATCAGTGTAAATTGCTACAATTACCAGTGTACTAATTTTCTGAGACTAACACAGGCAGGTTCCTATATTTGATGGGTCTGCAAGGGAATGGGTAAAAGCTATAGAAGAAGTTGGTTTGGAGGTAGCTTCTTATGGCGGGGGCCAAACGTGTGAAAAGTTGGCACCATATGTTAATGAACCTGTTCATGTATGGAAAAATGATGCGTTTATTGCTGCGTTCCCTTGCTCAAACATCAGGATAAGCTATGGAATTAACTTTCCACAGGTTAAATTATTTGCATTTACGGATGGTGACCATTATATCTCTTATGATTAAAATCACGCAGTATGTATTTTGAAATTCAAGTCCACTGGTCCCTTTGTTTTTCTGTTTCTTTATATATGTATATGTATATGCATATGTATATGTATATACATGTAACAAGGGCATTTCTTTATTAAGAGTGCCAATGCCTGGATTCTATCAAGTGTGTCAATTAAAAGATCGAAATCACTGTTATGTAGAGTTGACTAATTCCTTTCCGATGTATAAAAAATGTGTTGAATAACATTCTTTTTATTGATGGAATGGTGTTATACCTATCTGGCTACTTACTCTTTATTATAATGGTTCATGTCTTGCAGGCACCTGCAATTGGCTGCCAGTGGTTTTCTTGTTCATTTTCTTCAGATAATTTTGTCTATGCGGAGCAAATAGCTTCTTCAAGAACATTTTGCATTTATGAGCAGGTCTTTATTATATGCATTTTAGTCAAATCTATTGAATTTCCCACCTTTTCCATCCTGCGTAGAGTTCATTCTATATCATTTATCTTGAAGTCATTTAAAACTTGTTATTATGTTTCTTTATGGGGGTTGTGGTTGTATCTATCTCATGTTCTTGATAGGTTTTACTTTTGAGATTTTAAGCATAGCTATTTTGATGAAACATTAGCGTGAAATCATTTTCAGGTAGAACAAATGTTGCAATCAGGACTTATCCAGGGTGGCTCTCTAGAAAGTGCCATTGTTTGTAGGTTAGGCATTCTAGTTCTAGTAACTAGTACTCCCTCCGCCCCAAAGTAATACTCCGTAGTTATGTAATTCCTTTTTGGATTATTCCAAAGTAAAGGTTACATTTCCTTTTTTGGCAATCTATCCTACATACCATTCATACTTTACCTTTCGTTTTACTTAAAATACAATTTTGTCATTACAACTTTACTTACTTTTTCAGTGCTTCGGTAAAAGCAAAGGATACTTTAGGTATTTTTATGTAATTGTGTCATTTTCTTATTCTACGTGCCTAAACAAAATGTAATTAATCCTATGGTAATTTTTCAGTGCTACGGTAAAAGCAAAGGATACTTTAAGATACATGTGATTTTACTCTATTTCCGTCCAAAATCCACCAACCAAACAACCCCTAAAGCATTCTGTGCATTGCGATTTAGAGTGGGTAATTAATAAAATGTATGGCATTTTATCTGGAGATGAATAAGGCAATTGGCCCTTAGCATCCAATATGCTTGATCGAATTGATTGCAATTGTCGGTGTTTTCTTTAAGCCTGTATGTCTGATCTGTTTATCATCTTTCAGCACATTAGATAACGTTTTCTTGACCAACCATGGAGCCCAAACTGACGACCTTGTGCTCTGTTGACAGTGAGAGTAAAGGCTGGTTGAATCCACCCCTCCATTATCCCGATGAGCCATGCAGGCACAAGGTTTTGGATCTTATTGGGGATCTTTCCCTTTTTGCTAGAGCTGGCAGTCAGGGGTTTCCAGTAGCTCACATAGTTGCCTACAAGGTACATTCCTAACCTCCTATGCAGTTATGAAAAAACTCAAAAGAGGCTGTCTTTATATATATGTGTGCTGCCAACCACTTGAAGGAGTTGAAGCAACACCATCTATACTTCTATGGTATATGTCTGTGAAAGTAGTCTTGTTTCATTTGTGCTGTGAAAGTAGTCTTGTTTCAAAAGCCCCCTTTGTCCCCAAAAAGGTTCATGTCTGATCAAATAATTTATCACAAAAGAGTAGTATAAAATAAGTTTTGAAATTGAAGTACATTTGATGTCTTTTAATAGATGTACCTTGCCAAATGTCAAACATGACTCTTTTTGGGATGGGATGGTGTATTAGTCTTTTTAATTAAAGAGGTATTGACAAAGATGTGAGATGCCTGACAGTTATAGCTTGTTTGGATTGAAGATAATGGTGGGTGGGACTTGGGAGCGGAACTCCTATTCTCTGTTTTCATTTTTTATCATGTTTTTGGAATACATTATTTGCAGAACAATGAAAACATAATAATAAACATAATCTAATAAAAGCGTAATTTCCAAACCGTTTACAAAGACATCCCTTAGTCTATCTGGCAACGATCTTACCCCTTAATTTCCAAACCGTTAGATAAGATGATTTCTTAAATCAAAATGCAAAAGGCGGTGGCTGTTTTTATTGGCATTTAATGTAGGAGTAGTAAGAAGGGGAGCCTTGGGCATCGGTTACCATGTTGCTTGGTGCTTCCGTATGACGGACATGTCAGTGTCACGGGTTCAAGTACTGGGATTTGGGAGCAGTTTCCTCTCAAAATGATAAAACTTGCTCTTTATACAGCCTTGTGTGGAACCCTTCCCCAGACACTCAACTTGGGCGAGGATGCAAATGTGCACCGGGCTGCTCTTTCTTTTTCTGATTGGAGTAGTAATAAATTAACGGAATTTAATCAATTCAGGATCTGAAAGATATTAACTTGTGGGAATTTTATTAATTGTAGTAATAAACTAACAAAATTTCATGTTAGCCGACCTCAAAAGCTTTTGGGAATAAATCTTGGATGTTTTTGTTGTTGTAGGACCCGAAAGTTTTGTATTATCAATAAGGTCCTGAAAGATAAGTGTGTCGACGTAAGGTTTGAATGATTGAAAATTACCCCCCCCATCCCATTTACCTCTTACTTTCCTTTTTGGATTGCCCCCAAATAAGTGTCATTTTTTTTGGAAAGAAATATGTGGTCTATAACATTTGACTTTATTATGCTCAAATTTTAACCACAACTTTTATTTTTTCAATCCCTTTATTAATAATTGTGCCAAACCAAAGTAGGACACATAAAATGGGACATAAGTAGTATCAATCAAAGACCTAAATATCATAGATTTTTTTTATGATTCCATTGGTAATGGTTGATGTTATGTTCTTCACAAAAGTTTTTTAGTCTAATAAGATTAAATAATATTTAAATTTTTTAAAATAAAAAAAATATTAAAATTCATGGAATTTTAGGACTTATATTAACACATTTATCTTTCATGTCCATGATAGAGAATCTATCTCTTGGGTATTGAATTGATAAAATTTCAATAAAATTAACTTAGTTGTGTTTCTCTCACGTATCCACAGGGAGGACATGCACTCCATACTGATTTCGTTCGCTACTTATCCAGAATGGACTGAAGAACAACGGAAAGCTTCAAGCATCAGGGTCATAGAGCCTTCACATGGAGCAGATCATATGAATGACGAGGCTCTCTAGTACCCTGTGTCTGTGTTAATGGATAGGTGTAAGTGCAAAATAGATCACATCTGGATGTTTGATTGTTTCTACTTTCTACTACATATTATTTTCAGAAGATACAACCCAAAAGCTTTTATCAGCTCAGAAGTAAATAGTTTTGGGTATGAGGAATAATATTTCGGACTGCGAGTTTTGGAATCCATTTTACTTGATGGGGAAACACCTTGTTTACTTCTAGGTTTCAGCTCGTCTCAATTCTGAACCATATAACTGATATCAGGCAATACAATAATTTTATAATTTTGTTGGGCTCATAATTGAACACTCATCAGACTCATGATATATGGAGTATTACGTTCTCTAAAATTGGTGCATTCGGCCAATTGATAATATTTAAAATATATAACAAGTAAAAAATGTTACATGACGAAAGGTTAAAGTTACCATCTTCAACCAATTCAGTCGAGTATTTTCAACTTGACATTGTCTTTTCATTATAAACAAATTCAAGTGAGAAAAAGCACTGCTTGATAAAAATCTGCTTAATAATTAATATGATAGTATTATGATTAATTAGTACTGCGTAAAAAACAAAGTTATCATCAAACGGTGCTAATTTTTACAAAAGATTTCTACACCCAAATTGTTACGATCCCACATTGGTCAATTGTGGGATTGATTGGTGGCTTATAAGCAAGGTGTTCCCTCCTAATCGGCTGGTCTTTTAGGAGTGAGTTCTACACCTGGACTTATGGTACTAATATGAGCCTAGTATGAGCTAGGTCCGTAACAATTGGTATCAGAGCCGTCCCCATCTTCCTAGTTCTGACACTCAGAGTGGTGGCCTATGAAGTAGTGTCTTGGGCCCTGGGGGGTGCCAACCGTGACCAACATAGCATTGACCAACGAGGATGTTGGCTTTTCGAAGCGTGGGGTATTGTTACGATCCCACACCGGTCAATTATGGGATTGATTGGTGGCTTATAAGCAAGGTGTTCCCTCCTCCTAATCAGTTGGTCTTTTAGGAGTGAGTTCTACACCTGGGCTTATGGCATTGGTATGAGGCGTATGAGCTAGGTACGTAACACAAATTTGACATTTTCATTTTTGGAGTGCGCAAATCTATGAAGTAGGGGTGGACAAATGGTTATTGGAAACATAGGTTGGCTTGGGTAATACATGTTTCATGTTTGGCATAGGTCGTGGTCGAGTCTTAATTAAAAAAACCAAATAGGCCGTCACGACGGGATGAATTAAAAAAATAGGTATCAAACGAGTCTTAAGATTTGAAAAATGGATTTTTGGACTGATTGCTTGTTTGGTAACACTGAAACTGACTAAATCGGCTGATTATGATGAAATTTATGAAGTTCTAACTGAAGTGGCTGTATTGACTGATTATGTTGATTCATGAAAAAAATTATTTAAAATATATTATTAATAAAATAAAGAAAAACTATAAAAAAATAGCTAAAATGATCATCTGCTGTAATTTCAGCCAATTTAGTCAGAAAAGTAAATCTAACCTTACTTTTTCTTATTATCACACAATTCAATGCGCGAAATCAAAAGTTACGTGTTTGGTGAAAAATTGGCGGATAAGAATGATAAGCCGAAAAATAGAGTTACCAAACGAGCTCTGAATTACTACGCTTGAAATACGTAGTGTTACAATTTTGGTACACTCTTAGAGTCAGATTATTTGTAGTGGTGTAGGATTAGGAGTCCAAAATGTTAAAGTTGGAAATTTTGGACTCCTAATTTTGTGTAATGATGGGTTAAATGAGGGGTTATAAGTGGGAAAGGGGATGAAGGGCGTTATATTTAAAGGATGGGTTAATTGGGAAAGGGGATGAAGAGCGTTTATATTTAAAGAGTGAGTAAAGGAAAAAAGGAAAGAAAAGGAGGGGCTGTGTTGGCCGCTGCGCAGGAGTTTAACTGATTGGTAGGATGACGTCATGCCATCACTGTGTCATAAAATCATAATTTTTTAAAACTCTTATAACTTTTTTATTTTTTATCCATTTTTTTTAATAAATATATCAAAATTCATAAATTTTTATGATCTTTCATACGATACCATTATTACACATATAAAATGTAAAAACAAATATAAAATTTTAACCGTTAGAGCTTTCTTGAACGCAAGAAAATACGAAAACACAAATTTTTAATCCATGTAGCCTCCATATATAACTGAGTATTACATGAAATCATTTTTTTTTATTAAAATTGAAAAAAGTAAAAAATAAAAGTAACAATATTTTTAATGAAATTAATTTTTTACATCGAAATATGTATTTTTTATTTCATAATTATTTAGGGAAAAAATTAAATGGAAACCATTACTTATAATAATTTAATTAATGTTTTACTAAATTGATATGCGAAAAAATATTCTGGGTGTATTTTATTGACGATGCTGGCCGGGATGCAAAAAATACAATTCTAAACACTGTTTTCATATAGACAAAGTCTATTTTTAACATTTTGGCCTTGCAATCACTACAAATTGTCTCATGCTAGTAAACTCAACAAGGTCGATCGTTAGAATTGTTTAATTCTGTAGTTGAGTGTTTCTTTGTAGTTGCTTCAGCCTTCAGGTACACTATATAATTTCTTTAGGATTTGATTATTTGTGAAACCAAACTGAATTACTTTAGGAGTCCAACTAATTTTATCAGGCTCAACTAATTTTTTAACCAAACACGTAACTTTTGATTTTGCGCGCTGAATTGTGTAATAATAAGATAAAATATGATTGGAGTTACTTTATGAATGTATTGACTGAAGTTACTCTAGATGATCACTTTAACTATTTTTTCATATGATTTTTTCTTTATTTTATTAATATATACTCCGTATATTGTAAATATAATACACCAGCATAATCAGCTAATACGTCAATTTTGGACAAATCTTCATAAATTTTAATAAAAAAAACCGATTTCAGTGTTGTCAAACAAGTTTTAGTTAACTACATGACCACACCAATATATTTTATTTCAATATAATGAGTAAAAAATTGAAATGTGGGTCGGGTTCTTATCCAATGAACCCCCTAATGTCAAGTCACCATTTCTTCTTTTTGACCAAATGGGTTACTTCAATGAGTCAAAGAGCCCAAATCCAGCAACAGAGGATTATCCAATTTAGCCACCTTCATTCACTAATAGAACTGCCCTTCAGTTCCTTCCGCACGCCAAACACGCCCTTAGCCATTTCCTCAGTGGTCGCTGGGCTTTTATCTTTAGTGCACATTGCACTGTATCTTGACTTCCGTACACTGTTTCTCTATATGGCATTTTAGCTAAATAAATGCACATTTATCGTCTTATCGACACTGATAGTTACACTAATCATAGATTTAGATTTTGTGGATTTGTATGTATATACTCAATCTCACTGGCAAGACTGAGGCTTTTGATGTGAGGGAGGGGATAAGCGGATAGATCGGAGATGTCGGAGTTGGCCGGAGACGGAATTGCGACGGGGACGCCGGATTGGAATTTCGGAGACAATGGTGGAAATGCGAGGCCGGCGGCAGGCGAGGCATGTGATTCAGTGACTCCGACGCCATTGACGGCGTCGTCTTCTTTTAAGGAAGGGAGGTCGTCGCGGCGGAGGGCGTCTGTGAGGCCGAGCCTTGACGCGGACGACTTCATAAACATGCTACACGGCTCGGATCCGGTGAAGGTTGAGCTCAATCGACTTGAGAATGAGCTGAGAGGTTGGTAATGCCAGCTGGATCCAGTGTGAATTGGTTACCGGATGAGTCTTTTCTTACTCCGCGTATCGATATTGTAGGCTTTTGATGTGATTGATTCGTTGCTGTTTACTGTTTTGTAGATAAGGAGCGCGAATTGGCCGAGTCTCAAGCGGAAATTAAGGCACTGAGGCTGTCTGAGCGTTTAAGAGAAAAGGCCGTTGAAGAGGTGTTTGGCATCTCTTTCTTAGCCCTTAAACATTTTTTTTAAAGTATAATAGATGGGTGTTTCACAATGTGATGTGTAGGTGTTACATTGATTGTAAATATACTCAATTCCCTGAGTGGTAGTCCTTGACATACCAAGCTCATTGTGAGGCAGTAGTGAATTTAGCCAGGTGTTTTAAATATTAGAAGAGCGGACAAGAAAGAAAATAAACAACTGCAATAGTGCAATGCTTTCATAGTTTTCTCGCTATGTTTGATGAGGTCGTGGAGTTCAAAGTTAAACAGTAACAAACATGGTTAAAGTGAATGGAGCCAACAACAAATTTATATGGATTAGCAGAATCACTTCTCTCAAAGTTGATTTTTTTAAAAGCTTCAGATGGTATGCTGGTATGATGATAATAAGATTATGGCAATGCTATGTTTTTTATTCTCCATGCTTTAGATATTAGGGTTGGATGGTTATTGAATTCTATATATCGGATTTGGTGGCTAGACTGCCTAGACACTGTATTTCTTTCATTTATCTAACATAATACCTTGTTTAAAAACTTATTCATCTCAAGAGATCTTTTTCAGTAGAAATGCTTTAAATTATCATAGACACCTGGAGTTTGCTAGATGCTTCTCTATATTCAGTTATGGCTGAAACTTAGTAAGCTCTTTATGATTGTTTCCCCCAAATGTGTAGGGAAACAAGCATTTCTTGAAATTCTTGTTTTAATCCATTTTAAAGAGGACATTTATGATTGTTCTTAGTGGCATCCTGTTATTTTCTCTGGAGTTCCACTTAAGAATGCATTTTAAATATTTAAATCCATCTGATTTTGGAAATGATACTAGAATTTTGATCTCTATTCAAGAGCATAAAAAATCGTGCTGCCATTACTTTGGAAGGGTGTTTGCGTTTGCTTGTGCTTTTGAAAAGTAATTCATCTTAGAGATTGCATGAAAAGTGATTAGAAGTAATAGTTGGCGGTGTTTGGTAAGCATTACATTTAATTGTTTTTTTTGGGTAAAATATTATGGAAAAAGGAAATGCAATTTTAAGCACCGTCTCCCCTGCGTCTGCATTCAAATTAAAGCGCTTAAAGTTAAGCAGCAACAGCTTAAAGACGCTACTTCTAGCTTTTTGCCGCTTCTCAAAAGCTCTTTTTTTAGGAAAGGGGGGAATTTATTAATGATAAGGGGGATGAGGAGGGCACAAAACCTAGCCTCAAAACATGTTAGAGTTGTATGTGATATTAGGGAAGCCTATAGCATCAAATTTTAGGATGTGTACAAAATGATGAGAGTTGGTGTTCTTTCCATCACTGATATATTTGGCAGCGCGATTTAAAACCTTGTCCACAATTCGGATGTCTATGGTA